TTAGCAGATGACCTCGTAGCGTTTTGTTTATAATTAGCGCAATCCACCCCACACCGAGCATCGACACGTCGCTGATGAAGTTTAGCTAGATTTTTCAAGTTAATAGTTTCGAACTCTAAAAAAGCTATTAAATATTTTTCAAATTTCTTTCGCGCTGCGATTACATAAACCCCGTTTACAGGGGCATTCCGAAAATTTTCTGCTCACTTAGCCTAATCGAAATCGTCGCTTTTTAGCAAAATTTGTCCTCTAAATCTTATCTTTCCTGCGTTCTAAAAGGCCTAAAAGGTTCTAAAAGGTACTTTTTAATGGTTGACTTTGTCAAACTTTCTAAAAGGTTTTGAACTTAGGTTAAAAGGTAAGACTTTGAAGTCTATCTTTTTTCGTAAAATGACCCGCTGGTTCGGAAAAATCCCTTACCCAGAGGGACACATTGGCAGACGGGAGGCCGAGATAGGGCCAGACTTGCTAAAACAGAGGCTTGAGAAGGCGATGTGCCCGGTTGATAACTTTATGGTACCGCTTTGAATTCTTTAAAGGTACGTTCCGCTCTCGTTCTGGAACCCTGGTCTGCGGCGGGAATTTGGGGGCCTGGCGGCCGTGGGCAGGCGCATTGTCTTATGCCGTCGGGCTTTAAAGGTACATTTCACGCTCGTTAAAGAAACCCGGGTCGGCGGCAAGCATTCGGCTGTCCGGCGTTCGCGACCTCCTGCCCTTCATAACCCTTCGCCCTGCCCCTCTCACCTCTCTCCCAGGTCCGAGTGGTCTAAAGCGCTTACCCCGGGCGAGCGTCCCGGGTTCGGTTTTGCCCGCCTTTGAGCACCTACCGTAACCCGGCATTATAAAACAAAATTTGTCTAAGATCTTAGACCATTCAAACAAGAGCGGACTGGAGTTTTAAAGCTCGATTCAACCGTTCCGGCAAAATCTTACCAAAAAGGCCGTGACAAACAGCTGTTGCATCATGGTGATCAAGCAGATTAACATCAGGTTTACCTCGAGGTGTGCGTTCTCGGTTCTCAAGGAAGGTTTAGGGTTAGGGTTAGGCTTAGACTCACCTTTGCATCTTGACGCGTAGGGCAATAATTTTTGCAACGGTCGCGATGCAAATTATCACCGAGATGACCGGGTAAACAAAAGTACCAGCCTCAGTAAACTTGGGCACAAAGCGCATGTTCTTCAAACAACCAAATTGAGGTAATTTACGAATTGCTATCAGAATCTCGAAAATCAGAATCTCGAATTTTCAAAATCTCGAATTTTCAGAATCTCGAATTTTCAGGATTTCGAATTTTGAGAATCTTGGATTCAAAATCTCGAATTTTGAGAGTCTCGAACTTTCAAAATCTCGAATTTTCAGAATCTCGAATTTTCAGAATCTCGAATTTTAGAATCTCGAAATATGCCGATGCTGGATTTAGTGCATAGACGTGCAATTTTCGGGAACCTATATTGCTGATTTAAACCATGAAATTTCGAGATTCTAAAAATTCGAGATTTTGAAAATTCGAGATTTTGAAAATTCGAGATTCTGAAAATTCGAGATTCGAGAGAGATTTCCGTAATTTACGTCATTAAAGTCACTTTTACCTGATAAGCAGCATAGTCGATGCCCGCATACCTGTCGGCGCCGTGGATAAAGAGATTTGGGAGGAATAGGCACTCGCTGGCGGATAGGATACTGAGAATCATGATTATGATGAGAGCTATGACGATATTACGCGTTTCCCAGATCTGAAAAAAACCGTCTTTATTTTAACTCTTCTCATGTAGACCGAAGATTTTCATAATCTATGCAATTTTTGCAAAAAAAATAGCGCTAAACGCGTGCCAATTTGTGCGTTCTATAACGATCAATTTGAAGGGAAACCAGTTTTAGTTGTAATAGCTGAAAGTCTAGAAACCAGCGGTCAATTTAGAATTGGTGAATTTATGGATAGTTTTTGATACAAATATCAACCCAAAAATATCTGAAGTTCCGGGTTTTTGGGTACTCTAAAATGAAGTCACGACGTCGATATTATTGGAATTTTTTTGATTTGGGAAACCGTACCCGATCATGCCACCATGGGGCCCAGACGATGGTGAAGCGATTGACATACAAGAGGATTAGCCCCATATCCTGCGCATGCAACTGGCCAAAGTACCACGTGAGCAGCACGCGCATGGGTGGGGAATGGTTTTTCGATCCCCACGTAGACGTCCACCAAAAGGCAAATTCGCGGAATTTGGAAATAAAGTACGTGTTGATGTAGCTGGTGAGGTACTGGAATCAGAGTAAGGTAACCTGTATTCTTCCTGGGGGAGCCCGAATAAACCCGGACCCAGAATTGGCTGAGAATTGGCACACGGACTGAAACGACCATGCTGATCATCACCTCATTGCCCAAATTTGCCAATGACCTTTAAAACTCGAGATACTTATCTTTTAGTGTCCATTTTTACCCCCGAGAAATGTTTTCAATGATGCCTTTGTTTTCTTTGTTTTGGAGTTCGAATTTATTTGAAGCGGCCTATCTGATAGCAATTTTTTTTCTGATTCGAATGGTGTATTTTATGAAGTCAGGTTTCGCCTAGACGCATGGATTTTCAATCAATTCTGAGCTCGGGTTTATTCGGGCCCTCCTTGTTGGATCAGATCAATCATTTTGATTACAGGGTGGCCCGAAAGTAGGTTGACCGAGACTTTTTCGGATTTTCTAAAAAACTAGATGTTATATAAAACCACTCGTTTTTTTGGGTTGGATTCGTTGCGATGAAGCAACTTACCACAATCAGTACAAATATATAGATCTTATAAAATGATCCCTGGATGAGGGTGTGAGTTCGGACGATGGTGATGACCACCAGGATCATGAGGATCAGCGAAGGTATACCGTAGGCAACATAAAAGCAGAAATTCGTTATCATCGCTGGAATGTGCTCAGAGTCTGTTGCTGGAATACATTGAGGGGCTGGGAACGGAGTTTCAACCCGAGTTCTGACAGTCGAAAAAGTTATACTTGTTTGCTGCGGATAATTGCCGATTCTAAATTCCAAGGGCCCAAGGGTGTGCGTTGGCGTTGTTTGGGCAGAGCAACCGAAAAAGATCGCTAGGGGCAAGGTGGCACTTTCGAAAATCGGAGGTTGAGAGTGGAAATCAGCCACAAAATGAATGACAATTGAGTGTAAATACCTGATTTCGCGGAACGCCTCGCAGCACGGTACAACCCGAACAAAATGATGAAAAGATGCGTCCAAAAAGAAGCAGTGTACTTTCTAGTGTTTTTGATAGTTCTCAAGATAGATAAATTATTCGCAAATTCAAACGAAAGTTAAATTTTACAAAATTTTCAAGCGTTTCTAAATCTTAAAAATAAAAAAAAGCTCTAAATCTACTAATCTTTACTGTTTTGAAGTGGCTCGGCAGTAAAAAGTCATATTATAAAGAATGTTAGATTGAGAATAGCCACCTCAGGAAACTTTTTTGTGTCTGTTTGTCAATGAATCGTTGCATTTGCTTGCTCTTCTATAAAGTTTTTAAGAAACATGCAAGAAGATGAAAAGATAGAAAAGATGAACGCGTTGCGGTGCGTCGCGTACCACTCTTTCCGTCCTTCCCTCTCGTTCGAATTTTCGAAAACACTGGAAATCCAGCCGCAACTCCGGTGATCGATGCGTTGCGTGCCGCGCCGCGTCGTATGTCGCTTCGCGGCAGCGTCCTGCAAGAATGCCTTGCGCGCTGCGTCGTAAGCGTCGTAGCGTAGCGTAAGGTATCATAGGTTTGTTTCTGACGCACGACTAGGTCAGGTACCATTTGCAAAATTTTCAAAAATCCATTTTGCTGTATGATTGCTTTATCATCAGAAATCTATCAGATGCCTAAGCCCAAGCTTAAGCCCAAGCGCAATCCAAGCCTAGGCCTTCCCTTCCTAACATCAACCTTGACTTCCTCACAGCTCTGCTTTAATCCTACTGTTGTGTACAATACGAACCACATCATCAAAATTTTGCGGCCAAAAACCAACACTCTAGCCGATGTTCGACCCCTGTCCACCCAAACAAAGCTTTGGTCAGCTATTTTTCGGGCTTTTTTGCAGCTTACCCGCTCGAGTTTCGGCTTATTTTCAAGCGTTTTTTAAGCGTGGTAAGCCGTTTTTAATGGGTCAACTCAGCGGGCAGTGGTCAGCTCGGTCGTCCCCTCCTCTGCTGGCTAATGAGCAAATGGACGGAGCGGATTTTGGTAGAGCGCAAGAAACTTTTTCGGAGATCAGGGCGGGAATAAAAAAAAATAAAGTGGTTCGCTATAAAATGGATGAGGTCGGGGACCGTATTTTGGGTTTTGGCCTCGAATCGAAAAATTGCAATTACAGTACTTTTCGAATTGGAATGAATTTTTGTTATTTTACAAGTGTAGTAACAATGATTTTGAACGATTAACCTGTGCTAAAAGATATCTCAGGTCTTGCTCAGCTCGGATCGATGCCTGATCAAACAATTTACGAATTAGCATATATTACATCGCGTATATTTTATTTTTTCTGTTTCTACCAGGGTTGAAAAACCGCTTCGCGGCTTTTCAACCCTGGCCCCGTCTAGGAACTATCAGAAGTATTGACTTTGCATAATTCTTGCCGAAATCCGGGAACCGAAAAAATGAAAACCACGCCCTCCCTTCTTTTTTATAAACCACCTCCACTTCCGGCGTATGCTAATTTCTTCCTAACAAAGAGGGAAGCCAAGATTTTTACAAAAAACCTAATTTTAATAGCGAAAATAGCAATTTTTCGAAGAATTTATGTGCGTGCAGTCGATTCCGGCCCCTTCTTTACCTAGTGACGTTTCTTCCCTAGCGAAAAAATGCTTCCCTGAGGCTGTAGGTGGAACATCCAAACGAAGTGCATGCAAATATACACACACACACACACACACGACACTATTTTTTTATATATAGTAGGATATGGCTTACAATTAGCGTTAGAGTTTCTGTGGTAAAAACCCCCATAAAACTTTGTTTTCAGATGCTGCGGTACTTGGTCCTGATCTCATGCTCCTTTGCGATTGCCTATTCTGGAGCATGTGACGAGGGTGCAAGTTTGGGCCCGAAGTGCAAGGTATATAATTCTAATCGCTAAATTCAGTAGTAACCCCAGTTCAGGGTGGCAGACACTAAAACTTACAACGGTTTTCAGGCCTTTCTCAACTACCTCATCCCCAACTTGACGGCCGTTTTCAAGCCGACCGAAGAGGTGGTGTGCATGGTACGTTCGGAAATTTAAGTTTTTGATTAATACGTCGGTAAACAGCCCTCTAAGATTGGGGCCTTTTTTCCTCACCCTTTTTCAGATTAACAACGACTTGGGTACATGCGTGCCGGAAGGAAAGACTTTTGCGCAATGCGCGGCAGGTTTGAAATTTTCAGAATGCATGTGTATTTTTTTCTCTACGTCATTATTCTGATTGATTATCTCATGCTCAAAGCTGGTAAAAGCCCAATTTTTAGTGCTGGCGAGCAAAAGCGGCGATTACAAGAACAAACTCATCGCCACCCGTGCCGATCTGCTCGGCACGCTCACCCACGTTCAGAATTGCTTGTCAAACCTTGTAGGTTTCTCCCTGCTCCCTTTCTCCATATCTCTCGCGCTATCTCTCTCTCTCTCTCTCTCTCTCTCTCTCTCGCTCTCTCTTTGTCTCCCTTCACCCGAGCCTCTTCCAGAAGGACGGCGACTACGCGTCCTTCCTGAAACGTACCGTCATAGCCGGGATGAGCGCCATTCTGAAGGCACCTTACAATAAGGCGGTAGGTAGTTAATCGAGGATACATTCCAATTGGCTTCTAGATCCTGACCAAGATAAAGCAGATGATCCAAAACGGCAAGTCACTTGCTGAGCGGACCGAAACGGCCTGTGAAACCGGCACCGCCATGACCACCAATCCGCTTATCGTCAAGGTGGTCAAGGTGAGAGTGATAGAGAGAGAGGCCCATGAAAAGTTTTTCAGAAGGTCATGTCGCTGACGTTCAAGCAATCCTGGCAAGAATGTATCGTGCCACTTATGAGACCGAGTTCGGCAAGTCACCTCCAAAAAACATTATTTTTCAATTATTTAGGGTGTCCTCCTCATCAGCAAGTATGTCAAGAGCGACAACAAATGCAAGCAGGCCGGGCCCTCGGGTAAATAGATACTTCGACCTTAGAAGAATCGATAAAAAAATGCATCTGGTTTGAGGGTTACAGCGCATCTTTCAAAACTATCTTACAAGCTTGAGATCAGTTGTGCAGAGCTTATACAGAGAATTCCCGATTGTGCGACTTTCTACCGCACCGAGATTCAAAGTCCTGTTCCAGCCACAGCCGGTGAGGATCGGCCTTTTAAAAAAGCGCCGTCCAGCCTTTCCGCGCTAGAACGCACATGTTAGATGCGAATTTGTGGTGTTGATCACTTTGGCGGGTTGAACGACAGGATAGGAAACTGATCATACTGGAAAAACCGTTCAGAGCTATCAAAGAAGGCAAGCCCAGGCAAAACGATAAACATCCGTCTTTCATGCGGAATTACAGGCTTGTTTGGGTCTACTGTCTACTCGGTGTACAAGAAAACGTTTTTCCAATCCGAGAGGGCTCCGGGCCGCATGATCACACCAAATTTTCATGCATAGGGTCCACAGCCTCCAGTACGTAGATATGTCTACGAACGATTGTAAAACATTTAAAGGAGTGGGCATGATATGCCATTAGTAAACATGCACCCAATTATGTTACGCAAAAAATGGCGGAGAGAACGCGCCGAGGTGCGAGAGAGCAAGGCTGCTTTGCGGTTAATCCCTAGGTTTGTGCTACATATTGCATGTAGCGTCCTGATCTTTTCGATGTTGAAATATTTGAAAATTAGTCTCTTCAGGGTTGGCTAAACCCGTTGATGAAACCAAATCTGGAGTACCGACTAAAAGATGCCAGCCGTAATTTTACACAAGCCAAGCGGTAACTCGTCGGAAGCGCCACATTTCAATGAAGCGGAAAAGCCAAATCGTACTTATCTTCCTTTGCAAAAATATCATCGACGGGCACTTCGCGTTTTCCCTGCCCACAGCATTTCGTTGAACCCCCATTTGTACAAAGCGTTCGAAAACCATGTTCCGCTGCTCACGTGGGCATCAAAGTCCGTCGTCCAACCGAGGACCAACAAAAATTGGGCGGCGCCACCGTCGAAACGTAGGCGGCCCCGGCTCATCGCCCAAATCGAGCCAATTTCGCCCCCAAAATTAGATTGGACGATGTTGTGCCAATGGTTTTGTGGGTGCTGATCATTGCAATGGTGGTGCCCGCCCAATTAAGGCCATCGGGTAGAGAGGTATGAGAAAACGGGAAAAATGCTGGTCATTTGCAAGAGAGCCAAGAGGGAATGAACGTGAACTATTTGCGTGGAACGGAAGAGGTTCTTCGGGTGTATAAAAACACGGGCTAACGTGGGCAGAACCTGGCACATTTTGGTCGCAACCCTTCAGAGCTATTACAGCAACGCGCTTAGTCAAGCATTCATTTGCGCTATTTTATGCCTCAAACGGACCATGACGACTTCTTAGAATTAGTCTTGCCAATTCTAAATGGGCCTGATCTACAAAAAAATTTCGGGTAAAGACATCCCGACGCCAATGCTCTCGAGCGGAGGCGCTCTGGCTTCCTTTCTCGTTGGCTCAAACTCCTTACCTTGCTGTCTGTAGCTCCCTTTAGCATAAAGTGGTCGTTTTACTTTTGCAAACTGTAGATTGAGCACCATCGAAACGGCCTGTCTTTTAGATGGGCTAAAACAGCGTCGTAATCAATCCATACGCTCGAGCCTTCCCTGTATTTAGATGGCCACGAGAATTTTGGTCCTTGATTCCAGTTCCCTTTCTCCATACTTCTAACCTAATAGATTTTCCAAATCCAGAAGCAATGCGCGCCTTCTCCTTGGTCACTCTGGTTTGCTTGCTCCTCGCTCGAGAAGCGGAAGGTGACGCTTGCAGCGCGGTCACCGGAAACATTGCCACCTTCACCTCAAAGCTGTTGAGCAAATTGACGTCACCTAATTTCTTCTCAATCACTGATGCTATTGTGTGCCAGGTGGGGCAAAGACGCAAAGACAGGGGCGAAAACGCCAATTGCAGCCCAAAATGCTCGAAAATTTAGCTTTAAGATTGCCAACGACACAGCAACCTGGTCCGGGCAAGGGCTGCCGATGGCGACTACGGTGAAAAGTACGTTTCAGCATCCAAAAATGCATGTAGGAAATCGTAAAACCATGGAAAAAGGCGCCTTCAGATCTGATCGCCAACTCTGGTAGCTACGAGACCACGGTTATCACCACCAAAATGGACATGGCCGGCTACTTAATGGACTTCATCAGCTGCGCATCCGATGTGGGTTTGTTAATGATGACTTGCACCGCCTATTAAAAGATCTAGAAACTCTAGAAATATCATAGCATTCCAGTGTAAGGAAAGCTCGTGGACGGCTTACCTCAAAGGAACGGTCCTCTTCGCAATGCAAAAGTTCATGAAAAAGCCGTACAAGAAATGCGTGGTGAGGGAGGGTTTGAGGTTCAGGACGATATGCTCTTTCAGACCAGCCAGGTACCGACGTACGTGAAAAATGGTGTGAGCCTTGCTGAGTGCTCCGATAAAGTCAGCAAGTGTGGAGCTGCCTGCATTACCGCTAACCTCATCAAGAAGATTGTGAAGGTAAGTGGTAGCTACAAGGCTTTTAAACTTTCATATTTCGGCTACCCCCAATGTTCGATCTACTATAATTGCTCTGGATTTTCAGCTGACCATGAAACGCAGCTGCTCGTGCACCTGGACCAGCTGCGTGAAACCGCTGATCGCGGCTGGAGTCCTCAACATCACCGATTATCTCCCAGCCAAGGGCGCCTCGCTGCTGAGGGCCAAGTGCCCGTCAAAGAGCGCATAAGCAAGATTAAATACAACATAAAAACGGAAAAATTAATAAATAAAAAGCATACCGATTATCATGACCATTTTAATGCAATGGCCCACTAATCGATTGAGGCGTTTTCGCAAATGACAAATCCAATGATTGGATCTATTTTCTGGTTAATGAACCCAATCAAGCGGGGCAAAGCAAGACAATACTGACACTCGATTATACTATTTCGAATACTTAGCAATCGATCACGATTTCAACGATCTCGTTTTACGAGTCGCGTCACTTATTACCTCAAACTGCATACAACATTCCCTTGCTTTGAGACTAACCGATGCCTTGCGCAAATCAATCGCAAAATCAAGTTAGGATCATAATTCGACTACACGAGTCGTTTCCATCAATTTTATGTAGCCAACTGAAAGCCCATTCGTCCAAATCCGCAATCTTCCGGACGCAAGAAGGCACAAAAATCATCATAAAAACTTCATATACGACCAATAGCTCATTTCAGTGCGGCGAAAAGTCGTGGACGGCTTTTATGCAGGGCACCGTCCTCTTCTCCATGCAGAAATTCATGAAAAAGCCGTACAAAAAATGCGTGGTACGCCGACTACATGAACCAAATTGAGAAAACTCCTTTCTAGACGTCAAAGGTAACGACCTACATCAAGAACGCTGTCGGGTTGCCCGAGCGTTGCGACAAGGTCAGCAAATGCGGTGCCGCTTGCATTACCACGAAGCTGATCAAAAAGATTGTCAAGGTGGGAAAACCGGAGCATGATTAGAGTCTCGGGCTGGTGTAGAAGCGCCGTGTTTTAGTTAACGATGAAGCGCAGCTGCTCCTGCACATGGACAAGCTGCGTCAAGCCCTGATCACGGCCGGGGTCCTCAACATCACGCCCTACCTTCGGGCTAAAGGCGCCGCGTTATTGCTCGCAACGTGCCCATCGGAGAGCGCATAAATCTATTCACATAATTACTAGGAAAATAACTAAAAATGCATGCATATTCGGCCGAAATCAACAGAAAAAAATGTAAATAAAACATAAGAAAACATAAATGGATAAAAGATAGGGGTGAAACATGAAAATAGAGAACAATGAAAATCAGAACATTTCAAGACGGCCATATTACACATTCGCTGGGCAAAACCAAAAAATGGATGCATGTCATTGGTGAAATCGTGTGACTTAATAAAGGTTGCAGCAACTCAAAAATGCTTAGAATACGAAACAAAAGGAAACAGAACAAAGCTGCTTAAAAAGGACTTTGGCCACCCTTTAAAACTAAACATGTGATCGACATGAAGTCATGTCGTATTTTTTTGTCTAAGAACGGTGTGTAAGGCACATTATTTGTATAAAAGAAGGCCAAATTAATTGAATTGGTACCGGTAAAGCGCGTCAAAAAACGATAGGCCACCGGGCGCCAGTACATCCCTTGCCGTTACGGTCACAGGGCCCGCCCTAGGCGAGAGGGAGAGCGCGAGGGGGTTCAGGCAAACGCGGCGCCAGTTCCAAAGTTATTTGCATTGCAGTTTCATCAAGTCAGATTAATCCATCGCTGCCGACCTGCCATAAAACGTAAACTTTAACACCTCTTGTTTTTCCCATATTCTTTATTCTCCGGCATCTGCCCTCTCTGCATCCGCCTCTTCGTATCCCGCGAGCAACAAACCTTGGCGCCGATGTAGCCCAGACAAAAACCGATCCGTTTCGTTGGACGATAAGCTTTTCATCGGCGGTCGATGTTCGCGAGGTTTTCGAACCAAAATGTGATTACTTCGGGTTGTCCCGTTGGTCTTCGTGCGCGGGGCAGGGGAGCGCAACACCCAATTAGCACCCCGATAACTGTTATGATGGTTCTGGGGTGGACAAAAACTGGTCACCTCGAGGAAAAGCCAAAAAACGTAAGCTTGGACTACTGACGACGTGCCGACCAAGTTTTCGGGTATAAAATGCTGCGCCTTGACAAAAGGAAGGACACAAATTTTGAAACTTTGGTCGCGCCTTGGTCGTCGAAAAAAACTTCGTTCTCTCGACGTGCTTCTGGCCTTGCCGTCGACTGGGCTTTGCTTCAATACCAGGCTTTATTTTGTCAAGGCTTTTCGCCTGTTGCATTAAGTCGCTACCGCTTACAAGATCCTGAGATTTATCACTTACAACGTTTTCGCAGGGGCCTGTGTCTCTCTGCATGACATAATCTTTCTGCCTAAATATGGACCTCCGTTAATAATTCCTTTTGTTTTGATCGTGAATTTCATCAATATCCTGCATAACACCTCACAATCCAGGGTCAACGATGCGCGCCTTCGCCTTGTCCACCTTGCTTTGCCTTCTCCTTATTCGCCAATCATCCGGCGATGCCTGCAGCGCGGTCACCGGCAACATCAAGGCCTTCGCGCAAAAGGTTCTGGCGAAGTTGACGCTTCCCAAGTTTTTCACCATCAGCGACAGTATCGTGTGCCAGGTACGCGTAACTTTTGGTATTTGAAAGTTGCGAAACCTTGAGATCGCCAACGACACCGCTACATGGGCTGGCCAGGGAGTTCCGATGGCGACTATGACGAAAAGTAGGTATCTACCTGCATATAAAAATAGTGCCTGTGTATGGTTGGCATGAAACATGGGTCTTAGACGAGGCCAGCTATAAAAGCCGCGAAGCGGTTTTTTCAGCCTTTGTTCACAACTAAATTGTCATTCAACTTTGATTACCGCCCTTTTCCAGACCTAATGGCCAACTCCGGCAATTATGAATCGACGGTGATCGCAACGAAAATGAGCATGGCCAACTATTTGATGACCTTCATCAGCTGCGCTTCGAACGTCAGTGTTGTTGAAGGCGACCAACACTTTTTAGTGCGGCGAAACGTCATGGACGGATTATCTGGAAGGAACGGTCCTCTTCTCTATGGAAAAATACATGACCAAACCGTATAACACTTGCGTGGTGAGTGAGCTACGTTCTTTTGATATAATGCTCTCCTCTCACGCGTACAACTACAGGGTGTTCTAATAAAAACACACCCTGTAACTCGGCGGAGAAGGGTCGCATCGGAACGCTAGTTACGGCATTCGAAAGCCCTTAAAACGAAGAGTTTGCAAAAATCTTGAAAACCATGTTTTTGTTTAACTACACCATTTTATAACGCATTTAAAACATTAAAGAACGTCGTCTGCTTTCCATTAACGGTAAGCTCCGGTCATTTTGCTTGGAGAAATTGAGGCAAAAAGGGCCGGTATGCAATCCTGAAAAACAGTAAATTCTTGCAATTGGCTGCCAAAAGAGCTAATTTAAATCAAAACATGGCTCTGAAGATCGACGCAAACTTTAGGATGGTGTAACTATCCTTCCGATCCGATACTTCTGCGTCGAGTTAGAGTGGCACGTTTTTTTATTGCTTCATTGTTTTTTATCGGGATACCCTGTATATCCTTTAGACTGCCGAGGTGCCCAAGTACCAAGCCGCCGGGAAGTCTGTGCCCGCGTGCGCGGACCTCGTGAGCAAATGCGGGATCGCTTGCGTCACCCCGAAGCTTATCAAGGACATCGTGAAAGTAAGATTTATGAGAACGTTCGCTCAAAATTTTTCCATGGCAAGACCCTGACTTTCTGACCATGCAATGGACAATCGAATGGCAGCAACTTTTCAGCTAACGATCCAACGTAGCTGCGCGTGCACCCGGACAAGCTGTGTCAAGCCGCTGATCGCCGACGGAGTGCTGAACATCACCAACTTTCTTCCGGCCAACGGGGCCTCGTTGCTGATGCCAAAGTGCCCATCGAAGTCCGACTAGGCGCAGCCGCTGTAAATTACGTTCCGAATAATAAAAGTGCATATTATTACTCGAGTCTCTTGACACCCAATGATTGCAACCACTTTTCTTTGTTTTCATCTCTGAAAGAAAGTAGTAAAATGCAAGGGTGTCACGATCTGCCGCGCGTCCAACGCTGATTTTCGGTTCCGGACTTAAGCCATGGTCCAAAGCTCCTAGTGCAAATAATCATCTTAAACCAGACTAATTAAACTTGCACCACAAAAGTCACGCCGCAAAGTTCGCAAGCACCACAAAGTTTGGGGGATTGCTGTAATTACTGGTGCTGGTCTTGCAATAGCTCCTTTTCCGCCCTTTTAATAATTTGCCATTTTTTTAATAGACTTGGCATTGGCGATTTGTCAGCAAACCGCTGTATCGTTTTGTGATAGAGAAGCACAAAATTTTGGAGCTAGTCCCTAGATAAATCCAGAGACTGAATCGGGCAGGCTCTGATTTTAAAAATAAGATGATATAAATGTTCGTGGAATTTCTGAACATATAAAAACCCTCACTCGATATTGTTGTGTCCGAAGAGGTGTTGATGCGCAGCGGGACCAAGCAGTTCCAACACTGTTTATTAGACGAGCATCATGGCGGCAAGAAGGAATGAGAAGTCGAATTAAACGGGGATTAGAACTAGGGAATAAATGACAATCATAGGGCCCGTGGGGAGAGGGGCCGCACCGCATACGCGACGCGCCCCGTTACGGTGCTAGGGCACTGGATAGGCGAGGGGAACGGGGAGCGAAGGGAAAGGCAGCAACGCAACAGATAAGAATCTCGAATTGATGCTTGACCAGGGTTGAAAAACCGCTTCGCGGTTACGGTTTGCTTTACCCCCGCGCCCCAACCGGAATGTTTTGGCTATAACTTTTTCATTTCTCTCGCTCTCGCACTATGTTTTCTGATATATTGTTATTATTAAAGGGATGCCGACGGCATAGTGAAACGGTTACGCGCGGAAAAGAAAATGTCTCTGCGCCTCTCCCCTGGGCGCGCTCTCTCCCCTGCTGGCTACTTGCCAATTTGTCGATGAGGGGGGATCGACACATGCCGTCGGCAGCCCTTTAAGGGTTTATTATTTTATTATTGGTCGTGCATTGTCACATTTTTATGCATAGCTTTTTGCAACAATTTTTAACATCGCCACCGAAATTCTCTCCCAATTCCAGATTTTTCGTTGCGCTCAAATCATCAAATGCGGGGGTTCATTTGTAGGGCGCCGTTTTTTGGCCCTCTATTCGGCGCAAACCCGCTCTCGATACCGTACCAGATCTCCGGCTGAACCCCCGACCCGTGATCATCCGCCGATAATTGGGATTAAACCCGGGGGGTGCTCTTTAGGGCGGAGCGCGCTGACCAAAAAATGCTGTAGTTTTTCTGTCTGGCCAAAACGGTATAAATAAGGGACCGACAGTTTAACGACCAAAAAACCGTGGCTGGATGCGATGATTTTCGAGTTTTTGGAAAACGATACCTTGTGAAAATTTCTGCGCTCATCCATTTAACAATTTCTTCGCCATTTTTAGAAAAATAGTGCCAATATCGCGAGATGGTTGCAAAACCGCTTTGCGGCTTTTCAATTTCTTCCCATTTTTCCATATTTTCAATTGCGTTTCAATCTTCCATTACTAAGCTTCTTTGGTCTGTTGATAAGTTAATCAGAAAAGATAGGTCTCTCGCGCTCTCTCTCTCCCTCTCTCTCTCACAATCTCTCTCTTTCTCTATCTCTCTCTCTCTCTCAATCTTGCTCTCTCCTTCGCTCTCCCTCTCTATCTTTCAGATGGGAAAACATGCTCATTGAAGGCGATAAATTCATCACTATTTCAGGGGATCTCATCAGTTGGGAAATGCGCTCAATTTTCTTCCTTGCCATCCTTTTGGCCTCGACGTGTGCGACGGTCCAGCTGAGCGGCCAGGTGAAGGCGTTCGTCCAGAAGCTGCTCAATAAGGTCACCACGCCAAAATTCTTCACCGTCACCGACAAGTTGATTTGCGATGTGAGTGAAGGTCACTTTTCTATATGTAATTTTTCAAATTGCCTAATATGCCGATTTTCCAGGTTGGCAACGACACGGCCACCTGGGCGGCCCAGAATTGCGCGCTTTCTGAGCTTATTGACAGTAGGTTCTTGAAAGAGAGTCTGCTAAAGAGAAAGAGTGAGAGAGAGAGAGAGAACGTGCGAGATAGCTAGTGAGAGATAAAGATTAAGAGAGAGAGAACGTGCGAGATAGCTAGTGAGAGATAAAAGTTAAGAAAGACAGACAGAGAGAGAGCGAGAGAGAGAGTGAGGGGAGAGAGACAGGCAGAAAGAGAGAGAGAGATAGCAAGAGCAAGAGCCAGAAAATCACTCTTCTGGCTTCAGATATGAGCGCCAAGGGCTCCTCCTATCAAAACACGCTCATCACGACCAAAGCCAGCCTAGCCAACTACCTGTTCACCTTCATCCAATGCTTGAGCGATGTAGGCTTTTAGAAGATCTCAGTCAATATGTTGCTCCTGAATGCTAATCTTCAGTATAACATATCCATTAGTGCAAAGACAACGGCCTCACCGACTTCATCAAGGGCACTATCGGGTTCGCGCTCTCAAACACGCTGACGAAGCCGTACAACACGTGCGTGGTGGGTGATTCGCCCGGTTTCAGAGATGGGACTACCGCTGCGAAAAAGCCTTGGCTTCAGACTGGACACGTACCAAATCCTAAACCTGGGCCGAAGCCTACCGCAAAACCTAGCCTAAATATAATCCTGTTTTCAGACGCAAAAGATGCCGGCCATGATCAGCGCGGGCAAGACGATTCTGCAGCGCCAGGAGCAGTGCAGCAAGTGCGGCGTTGCCGCGATGACGGACGACTTGATCACCAAAGTTGTTAAGGTATGGAAACATCTGTGGCTCTCTCTTTTCTCTCGCACCCTCCCTCTCCCTCGCTCTCTCTCTCCCGCTCTCTCGGGCGCCCTCCTGTGTGCTACTTTGGGTTCTGCGCTTGGCAATCTAACTTCCAGCAATTTTCTCTTGCAGACGACGATGCAGCGAACCTTCGTGAATACGTGGACTAAATGCGTGCGCCCGCTTATCACCTGCGGCATGCTGAACATCACCCAGTACATCCCGACGGCTGGCCCCGAGAAGACGTGCCTGGCCAAGGGGGCCCTCCAAGCTGTGGACCTAGGCGCGATGATAGTATCGAATTGCTCCCGAGCGAGGAGTTCAATAAAGTTGTACACAAGCACGTCCAGAATGAAGGTGTCAACACATTTATGGGTGGTAGAGCAAAACCAAAACCCCGTGCATTAAATTTCATTAATGCGTATTTAACTAAGCACTGATGAGGAGCACGTCAGAATTAGGGACAAGGTCTGGTGGATTGTCACTAAAGCTTGAAAAACGGAAAAACACCGCGTAATACGAGAAATGTTTATTTACACGCCGTACGGAGAAGGCTCCATCATTGAAAAAGTGGGAATTCAAATTAGTGTACGGAGTATCACGTCGGAGCAGGAAAGTGAAGAGCAGGTTTGTACTGGCCGGCGGGTGTTACTGAAAGGAGGTTTATACTAAAGGAAACTGGCAGCTGCGATATCCATGAAAAGTCTATGAATCTATTTTAGAGCGTTAACCAGGGTTGAAAAGCCGCTTCGCGACTTTACTTAAAAATTCTTCCCCTATCGAGATATCCTCTAAACAGACAGAAACAGTAGGTGCAAGGCGGCACACACACAGACAGGTGTATTCAATAGTATTCAATAGAAAGCAAAGACTCACTGGTTTGTGGGCGTCTTGCAAAGCCTTCTGATGCGCTGCTCGCTCCCCGGTGCCGAAGAGGAAGAAGAACTGAAAACAGCTTTAGTAAATTTTAATGCAATTTTTGAAGTGAATTATTCCATGTCAGTCAAGGGCAGATTCATGGCAATTTTCTGAGATATCCCTTGTTTATTTGATATTCCAAAAAAGCCCACCAGAACCCCGATAAGCACACAGCTGACGATGAAGGCAGCGAAGGCGATGAGTGTTTTCATCGCAATGTTCCGCTGAAATAGACCATTGCTTTTTGATCTAGAAAGGAGAGAGAGAGGAGAGAGAGAGAGAGAGAGAGAGAGAGAAACAGAATGAGAGAGAGACAGACGAGAGAGAGAAAGAGAGAGTGAGTGAGAAAGAGAGGGAAGGAGAGACAGAGATATAGAGAGAGAGCGAGAAAGATAGAGAAAGAGGGTGAGAGAGAGTTAGAGATCAGAAGAGGTTTTGAATATTTCCAAAACATACGGTAGCTATGAAAAACAGCTTACAAGACTCGACTGGCTGGGTTCTGCGCTGCTTAAAAGTTCCTCAATATCGTGGTGCAAATGGTGATCATGATGATGGTGGTCGTGGTGCTTATCATGAGTAGTTTCCATATAAACGTCCTTGCTCATTTTTTCGGAATGTAGTCAAATTTGTAGCTTGAATTCAAGTGAATTAAATCCGGAATAGCAGTTGCTAGTTTCTCCTTGTCGAAATTGGCAGTAGAGTCGAATTTCGGTGTAGCTCGCCTCGTGGAAATTTGCGGGTCGGTAGGGAATAACAAGGGGGGCGGGTGCTGGGGGCCCTTGGGCCCCTATGACACGTAAACAGGGGCCCTGCCGGAGGTTCTTTTAGCTCTTTTGGCTTCTCTGTCTCTTAGGTCTTTCCGGCAGAACCGGATCCTCCTGTTTTTCTATTTTCTATAGGTGGTGGCCCATCAACCCTCCAGGCCATAGGTCGTTTGTCAAAGAATATTGGATGGAGAGCCTCGAGAAAGCACTAATGGGCAAGAAAACTTAATAAAAGGACAGTTAAGGGCTTTTTGAGTGGTTCCTGGGAACAGCAACTTCCAGGTTTTTAGGGTTTTTTGGCTTTCAAACGATTTTAAAGGCGGGTAACTTTTGAAATTGCCGTTTTTTTTTTGGGGCTGAACGTTGCCAGAACGATGCCTGTGCAAACTGGCAAAGACAGGTGGAAAAACCTCAACTAGCTTTCCTTACATAATGCAAAAAATCCTTTGAAAATCAGCCAATTTCGCTAAATCCCCAAGAATTTCTGCTTATTTCTGCTATTTTTAAATTTTTCTAAAGTTTGTGAGTTTTTGGAATTTTGCAAATGAAGAGCGGCAAATTCCAACCACAGCTATTTTATTTTTTGAATCTAGAATCTTTTTTGAAGCGCAGTACCTTTTTTAGCTTTTAAATGGCGTCATTGTTGTAGGTCGGAGAAGTGCGCCATTGCTTCGTCAATGAACCTTACGATCTTTGTTTTGAGTTGCTCTAGCCCCATTGCTTCTTTTACTTAGCGTTAGATGTTGTGATTCTGGTTGTCCTTTGCTCTCTCTCTCTCTCTCTCTCTCTCTCTCTCTCTCTCGTCCTCATTAATCTAGCCACGAAAACATTCCACTAAAAATGTCTCTTTCTCGCCCGTCCGGTAGGCTGTTTCACAATTTGCACTTGCACAATAAAATGGGGAACCAGCAGCGCCCTAAAGGCTAGAGAGGGGCTTCTTGTTTATCCCCAGCCCTGGGGCTATGCCAGAACCATGTGGTTAGCCTTTCTCTAGCTGCCCGGGGGCCCTATTTTGGTCCGAAAAGCCGGCTATTTTGGGGCAGGTATGTTTTGGAAACGGCTTGGGGATGGACGCCCAAAGATGGGCGACAATTTTCAGCCCGGGATTTTGTTGATGAATCGCCTTGGGTGACGCCGAGAATTATGGGGATGATGCTTGAAATGTTGTCTATTTTCGTACCTGATCCCTGAACATTGCGAAGCAGCCAAAAGTCGAAAAATTCAGAAAACAGGACCAGCAAACTTTTGTTTTTTAATGTTTTTGAATTTGCGGCTAAGATTCTGAGTTTTTGACCTCTTCCGTGCTTTGGTAAGTAGATTCCCCAAACTAATCAAACCAAAGCGTTTTTAATATTTAGATGGAGACGGAATTTTTTCGAGAGTATTGTGTACCCATTTAACAAAGGCTAAAAATTTGCTAATTCGACGATCGGATCTGTTTCATCTAGCGAACCACCAAGTTAAAAAAAACTTTTTGGAGAAAATCTGGACAAATTGACCTGCGATAGGTCTTTCAAAAGCGCAAATGTTTTTGGTGATGATGTGCTCATTGGTTTTTCCTGGGTTTTTTCTGACATTTTTCTAGCTTTCAAAGACAGTCATTTTAGCCCCTTTTCGAACTAAAAAGCTGCGTAACTTCTTCGAAATGGGCATTTAGCAGTTTTGGAAAACATATTCAGGGTCTACGCGAGATTCTGGACAAACTGGTCTGGTGGCGACTCAAAACTTACTTTACACTAAAAACTCATTGTTAGGCTGACGCAAAAATAACTAAGGTTTGCCATAATTTACAAAGGCTGGAATTAAGCATCCTCTCAAAGTAGTCTTTCACATGTCAAAAGGCCGTTCGCGAGAGACCCGAACTGGCTTGGTACAGTTTTTTTCGACCCTGGTTTTTTGACGCCATCTGAAAGAGCATGGTCGAATTAATAGGGCCGCACTATTTTGAGAATTTTAAAAAGTCATTTTCGGGGTTTAAATGGCCGCTAAAGTTGCGTACCTCAAAAATTTATCTCGAAAACCACACGGCCGATCTTGCTGAAAATTTTTGTCAATGCCTAATTTGGGATGGGGATCATTTCTCTAATACATTGGGAAGCACGAAAATGGCAGGAACATAGGTATATTGCGTACCATAAACAGTTTTTGAGGGTTTTCTACTACAAGGCGTGTCCGGCGCATCTTGAAAATAGCATAGAAAGATGCACCGGAAGATTCTGCGTCGAATTATGTGCTTTCCAAGATGCGCCCAACTCGCCTCTAGCCGCTGTACCGAGGTTTCGACGTCGAAAACCATCAAAATTGACGTTTTTTGGGGGGATTTCTGGGCTGGGCTATGCGAGATAGTGCGAGAGGGGGAGAGGGCAGAGGCGGCTAGGGTGGTCAAGTTGGGGGCTCTCAGGCAGCACCCGACTCGCTCCCCCAGGGCTGTTGTCTGCCTGTCTCGACTCTCTACGCCTTCCGCGCTCTCTCGTTGGCGTCACCCCGGGAATCCTCCCAAAAAACGTCAATTTTGATGGTTTTCGACGTCGAAACCTCGGTACAGCGGCTAGAGGCGAGTTGGGCGCATCTTGGAAAGCACATAATTCGACGCAGAATCTTCCGGTGCATCTTTCTATGCTATTTTCAAGATGCGCCGGACACGCCTTGTAGTAGAAAACCCTCAAAAACTGTTTATGGTACGCAATATACCTATGTTCCTGCCATTTTCGTGCTTCCCAATGTATTAGAGAAATGATCCCCATCCCAAATTAGGCATTGACAAAAATTTTCAGCAAGATCGGCCGTGTGGTTTTCGAGATAAATTTTTGAGGTACGCAACTTTAGCGGCCATTTAAACCCCGAAAATGACTTTTTAAAATTCTCAAAATAGTGCGGCCCTATTAATTCGACCATGCTCTTTCAGATGGCGTCAAAAAACCAGGGTCGAAAAAAACTGTACCAAGCCATCATGGGGGCAGTTCGGGTCTCTCGCAAACGGCCTTTCAAAACTGCCTTGAATTGGTCTTCTGATGCTGCCAGCTCAGAATCATGTCGTGCTGCGCTCGCTAGTCTGGTAGTCGACAGACAAAAATCGTACTTTAGACGGCCAGTTTTTGTCACCTTGGAGGGAGTCGTTGCTCCTTTAGAAAGGTTTTAATTTCGATACGAGTCAATAGCTGCTGCTCCCAAATTTCCCAAATTCTTGAGCTAAAAATAGATGCCTCATAATTCTCCGGCCGTTCCTGCAGCCGGTTCCTCCCATCCCCCAATTTTTGGCCGCGATCCTTGATCATGTCTGCCCCGGAAAAAAATGATTACAGCCGGATGTGGATGGGGAGATGGACACCACCAGCTTGGGGGAAAATGTTAGGGTTTGCTGGTCGGGAGCCCCTTGAGGCCCAGGCTCGGCTCGTGATCAACTGTTGGGGGTCGGCTGGCACCTGGTGGTGAGTGACGACATTAGGCTGCAACCAAAGGGTGCTAGGAAAAGCTGGAGGCTCTTTCGATAGGATGGCTTTGGCGAAAATATTTTTGAGAAATAAAGGCAGAAGTGGACTGGCGGCTCTGCAAAAAAATGTCATTTTTGACGAGGCTAAGGAGTGATAGCGGCGGTTATACACATTTTAAAAAGTAGATTTTTTGACGCGAGAAGCTTAACCAAGTGGAATAGGAATTTTTAAGTCGTTAGTCTTACGGGGAAGAAAGTACTTGCCAGCTTGCTCGCCCGAAAAACCTAAAAATCACAAAAAAAGTTTGGGCCGGCAGATCTAAGCCTCTTACTAACCTAGTGGTGTCGATAGCTACGCGCCATGTCAAAATACACACAAAAAAAAATTGGAATCAGAATCTGAAAAATCAGATCAAAAATCAAAACCAAAATATGCTCAGACTCAACGAATAAAATAAAACAAATCGGCTTTGACTTAGTAGCAGAAACCTTGAATTTCTAGAACGGTTTCAAAAAGTTTCTAAGCAGAATTAGTTCGATCTTGGAGCCCTGGCGTCCAAAACCAGTTTGGAACTACGATCTAATTACAAACTCTGGTTTGAAGGTAATAACCAAGATATCTCCATTCTTAGGAAAAAGGGTTATTTTTCGCTAGCTACAAAATGAAGCTATCCTAGAATATTCTGGAGTATGAAGAGTAAATACGAGCTCGAAAGTCTTAGAGATGAAGCAGACAGCTCCTTCAAAAGCGTAAGCGCCGCACTCCGCGCACCGTAATGCCTCCCAGCAAAATGTGGCTTTTGGCAGCAGCCGATCCAGATGTGCATAGTTAAGGTGTGCCCTCGTTGAATGGCACGAGCCCCACATTGCTACGTAAAAACCTGTGGAGGGCCAGCTGGGAGAATGGCGGCCCGCGGCTAAAACCCATTTCGTTTTTGCGTATTCGCCAGGAATGGGGCCAAAGGGCTTTACAAGATGAGCCCGCGGCGAGGGCCCACAACCACTACCAGGATCCCTCAACCAAATGGCGCCTAGTGTTTTGGTGGAGTGGGTAGCATCGGAAAAAAATGCGCTTTAGCGAATTTTGAATTTTAGAAAAATTAGAAATTTCACAAATTAAGAAGAATGAATTACGCCCGCCTTCAATTAAATGAACAAAACTGCTCAATTAAAAAGGCCAACGACATGAAAATGCGTTTATATTTTAGCAAATTTCTTTTTTCTTTCTTTTTCTTCAATTTCTTAGAAATTTGATGGGTTTTTCTATCTAAACTAAACCCCACAAATTTCCTGGAAAATCAAATCGCATAGGAAGAAAGCTTAAACGAGCTATTTTTGGAAAAAGCCAGGTATAAATTAGCACAGAATCCCTTCCCCCCGATCTCCGTTTATACAAATACGAAATGAGCGCAGAGGGTGGGACGAATTGCTAATCGGTATTTTTTCGGGCGGCAAACGGGAAGTTTTTAGAGCGGAGCGAGGAAGAGGCCAAGTGGCCAAACGTCCCTCCGGGCCCAAAAAAGATTTATTGCGTTGTAAGGGCGGAATGGAGAACGGGACCCGGAGGGAAATTACCTGCCTATCGTACAATTTTCATAAGAAATAACAACCATAGCTAAAGAATTATGAAAATTTAGAGACATCGTGAACTCGTCTTCAAATACCAGGTACAGAACAGCGTCCTGGTACAAACAACTGGCGAAAAATTTATTAGCCCAATTCTCGGCTAGAGCATCATGAAAAATAAGTTAAAAAACGCCATGACCCGGATGAGGAAGTCAACAAGACAAAACCGGAAAATTGATTACGACCTATGGCTTCCAAAAAAAACTATTTCAGGCTGATACCCTAATCCCAATTTGACCACGTTTCCTGGAGTTTAGGGATTCGCGCCCGATCCGAAATCTTTAAAGAACTTCCATGTTGGAGTAAGAACAATAGAATATCACTAGAGTTAAAAAACCTCTCGGATATCGTGCTGTCCGAGAAAATGAATCCGCAAGTTCCGTCCGAGTTCGCTTCCGGGCCTCCCTAATTCCTTGGGGGTCTACAAGAGTGGCCAAAGCCCTGAGATGCCCCCGGACCGGGCTTAACCTAATTTTAAGCCTTGAAACCCAAAAGCCTTGCCTAAGTTGCCTTGCCCAGCCCTAAATTCCATTTTTTAGCCTCACTTCAATTAGTGGAATGTTTTTTCTGTTTATGGTTGATTTTTTCAGCGGTTTTTGCTTGCATAGAAACCACACTCTATTAAATTCTTGCATCCTTTCAGATGCATTTTAGATTCTGCATTGTCTAGCATGCTTTGTCGCCTTTTCAATTCATTTTTATCTTGCAAAAAGCTTGACGCAATTGGCGGATCAAATTTTTCTGGTCTCCTATTCTAGAAAATATCCGAAATGTCAATTTTTTCGAAAGCCACGTCCTCATTTCAGAGATTTCCTTAATTCACTCTATTGAAATCTAACGGTCAGACAACTTCCTTGTAGCCGGATCCCGGAACCAAGAAAACACCAAAAATATCCCATTTTCAGCGTCCAAAACAATATGCTTCAATTCATTTCTATAAAAATGAGATCCAGCCTCATTTTTATTCACAAAATTCTCTTGTCGGCCTACGCACGAGCGTCGGGAAACCTGATTCGGGGTATTGTTTCGGAATTCGTTGGGAATTTCTATGGGGGCGTGACCTCTAGGGATGGAAGCTTATAAATCTGGACCCGAAAGCGCAGAATCCTTGCCCCCAGGCTGCCACGGGAATATTCATTATTTCCCGGTTCAACCGCCCCTTTTTGAGGACTACGAGAGGAGCGACAGCCCAGAATAATCCACATTTCTGACCTAGAAAAATGGCCTCGCTTGCCGTCCTGCCGCTACTTTTATTCCACCGCGAAGAATTTTTGAGCTTTGTGTCGATTGGTGGGTTTGTACAGTTTATTGTCGCTGTAGAGGGCCTGCGATTCACTGTGTCATGTCTTAAATAAATTGAATATATAATTTTTATATAAGTTAACCTCTTTCGCAATCCGGCCGGCGGGCTAGCCTGCTAACCCGCGCCCCTCGCCTAACAGGTTACGGTAGATCGCCCCAGTTCCCAAAGGCCACGATTTGGAAATGATCGTGAATTTTCGCTTTTTTAGAACTTTTATGATTAGGTTAGAAGTTTATTTGGTTTGATCTACTCAATAACTATTTTTTTTCAGGCCGCGTCGAATACCGTGAGATGAGCCACTCGATGGCGCAGAGCTACCCGAAATGGCGGCGCGGCAGGCTGAGGATGACCCATCGTGTCGCGACGAAATATTCGAAAAACTGGTAGCGAATGATTATCGATATAGATTTATGTATTTGGATTAGAAAAATGAATGTATAAATATTTATTATCTGTCGCACCGGCGTAAGAACTTGCAAGGCAAAAGCTTGTTGCCATTCTAAATTTGCGGCCGAATGTCCTTTATGCCGCGGCTGTTTTTTTTGGAACTGTGCCAACGGAAGTCGAAAATTTCCATTATTTTCCGCGCCGATTAAATTCACGGCATTTCCCTTTCGGCAATTAAGCACAAAGTATTTTGGGGCTCGGCTCGTCAAAGCGCACTTTGCTTCACAAAAACGCTTCCGAAGTTACGATATTTCCCGTTAGTTGAGCTTTCTGTAGAGCGACCGCGCGAGATTGAACACCAAAAAATCACGGACAATCCACTGTATTATCCCGCTTCAATTTAACTATTTGAGAGATCAACGGCGCGAGTTTTAGATTGAGCATAAAGTTTTCATTACGTGGTAGGCACTTCGCCTCTACAAATATTGTATTATCTTTAACGATTTTTAAACTTTTAACTTTATTTGCGCGTGGCAGGTTTTGGCAATCACTGTTAGCTTCCGACTTTGGAGCTTTCGAGCTTTTTGTGCAATTTCCTAAGAAACCACACGCCCGAAAAGTAGCCGGAGCCCGGGGGCGTACCAAAGAAGATTAGCGCGTGCATACTTTATCGAGCCGAACTCACATAATTACTTGCAGAAACTCCATGAAATGAAAATTCTGGAGCCAGATCGGTGCTTGCCCAGTTCATTCGTTAAGTCACGTTTGCCCCAAATAGATCCAGAAAATTCGTTTTCTGGCAGTCATGCTTTGAATTTTTACACTCTTTACCTAGAACTGGTTAACCCTGGATCAAAGGGGCCTTCATAATGGTTAGGAAAAGTTAGAAAATTGTTCCATGACGCTGGAAATTGCTGGCTTTGCCCTTTCACAAAGTCGTCGAGCTGCCCAGACCAAAGCTGATCTTATTGGGCTCTGACCCGTTCTCGTAAACGGCCGGTTATTTCCGGTAATTGGGATGTCTCGGTGAAAAAGTCGGGGTATGTTTTCGTTAACAGAAGTGTCGCGACTTTAATTGACAAGGGGATCTCTGAAAGCTCGCTGTTTCTTGGGAGTTGACGGTCGGTTGATTTATTAGTTGATCGGAAACGGAGGCCTTTGTGGCGAAACGTAATTGTCTACACCTCATTTTCTGCTTTTTCGATTTACATTCCCATTTTCATTGAGAGTTTATCCCGCTTCTAACATCTCCAAATTAGCAGGACGAAAAATGAGGGCCAAAAAATTGTTTTTCTTGATGGCGTCGTACCAAAAATTACTATTATTGTCCTTGCCAACTGATTCACCTGCCTACGAAGGGTACAGAAACTTCAAATATTTTTTGCATGGTGTGGGCAGGGTTCAAGTCGGTGCTGGGCAAACATTCGGGTGCAGCCGGTAGAGATCCTACCCCAATCTAATTTTTCTTCGAATTTTGGTCCAGGGCCTGGTTGGTATTCTAGGTTCGTAAAGGTTACCCCGTTTGGCTTCAGGGTTCAGGTCGATCTTGATCTTTTTTGGCATGAACGAGGCACTAATGACATTCTACAAAGGGGCATTACGTCTTTACACAGCCACAACCAAAGTATGGTAGCCAGGTGTGCACGCAACTATCTTGAGTTTGGTACTGGAAGCACGCGGGCTACGGTAGCCGCTGATCGGGATCATTTACGAGATTGGCAGGTGCTCAATTTCGAGTTTGCTGTTTCCTTAATTTGAGCTTGATCTTGCTCGGAGCCGCAATTCACGATTGCCAGGGGTGATTCTGAGTTGCACTTGTTGCGCCCATTAGTTGGAAGCCATAGTGTAACCTCGCACGGTTGTTTCATATTACCTTCCGGGCAGGGTAGCAGCCTTCTTGCTCGTTAATGAGCCAGGCGTATTATACTTCACGTTTTTGCCCACTATTGCAGCGCTTTGCTTGACTTTTTCGATTTGGTTTTTATCTTATCACAACCCTTCTATTCAATTGTTATTTTTTGGGATTATTAAAGTTTGATCCTTTATTTCCTGGAATTTCCCTAGGTTGACCTCAAAATGGTTTATTTAGAATGCGCTTCCAAGTACTACATTTTGTAAATGTCACAGCCGCTGTCGAGGATGGGCTCTACGATCTTGTGCAAATCGGCTATGTTCTCGAAGCTATTTTTTATATTCTTTCGGCCGTCTGCATTCCATTGACGTTACATGTTATTGTCACCTCTGGGGTAACTTTTGATCGGCGGCAAACTTTGGAAACAACGATTATGCGTATAAAAATTGCTGGATGTAAACATTATCTTTTTTCGTACAAACAATTTCAATTTCAGGTCTTCCACCCAATTTCAGGTCTTCCACCCAAATATCGTACGCTTCTACAGGCTTAACGTCTATTTCTCATATCCATTTGCGATAGCCCGGATTCCGATAGCGTACTATGAAAATACGCTAACTTATGAATGGGTCTATGAAGGTAGCCAAACTTGATCCTCTATACCTTACAATCTAGATATCACCTCATGCCCAGCCCTGCTTGTAATAGCCACTCAAATGCGATCGGCGACTTTCGCCCTGATCCCATGTACGTTCATAACAATGTGTTTTGACCTTGGCACACTACCGTACCGGGATATTTTTTTGGTTCCGAGGCGGGCGGGTGGTAGTTAGCTTTTTCAAACGAGAAAAATGGCAAATTAATTGCCCGGAACTTCTAGCTCAACTTTGTGAATCATGCATCCCTGCGAGGGGGCGAGAGAAAGAGAATAAGAGAGAGAGAGCGAGAAGGGAGAGAAAGGGAGAGCCAGCGATTGAGATATAACAGATCACGAAAAACACGTTTCAGGCACTCTCCTTTCGATCCTTGGCGAACGACTCTTGGCCAATCGCAAAGTCGAAACTTACGAGCATCAATATTATCCAAAATTCATGCAAATTTACTGCGCCTACACTGTGTGCCTGGCGTTCATCCTAGGAGGAGCTTATACAACCGGTAATGTTCGTGTTTTTCTAATTTAACATAGTTTTCTAGCTTTCCTAACCCCGATGGACGAAGCGTGTATCGCTGCTGTCGGGACAGCGTTGTCTACCGTTGTGAGTTGTTTAATTCAATGGATCTCTAAAATGCTGAATTGACGGATTTCCCAATCATTTATGTAATTTTAATTTTAGGGCACAGTTTATATGCTGCTAGAATCCGATCGGAAAAAACGCGGGTTGCTCCCATCCGATTACACCTTGAGCAAGAGATATCAACTTTATGCAAACGTGAAAGCAGCAAAGGTGCATCCCACCAAGATCTTCGACGATGATTACACTTAACGATGTTATATATTTGTTTTAAGGTCTGCGCAACACTCGCTATCTACGCAGCCGTGATGAACGTGCTTTTCTGCATAATTTTCGTGCTGAATCGATACGCATTTTCGTGGTATTGGAAGAATATTCTTGGCGTTACGATTGGACTGCATAACGCGTTGTGAGTTTGTTCCAAAGTTCTTGGACATTTAGCTTATCAATAATTTAACTGGATTACCTTGAAGTTTGTGTCACCGAAGGTTTCATCAAAACAAAACTAGTTGCCATAACAATGGCCGATGTTGCAGTTACACCTGGTCAATGACGTTTATGGGCTACCTGGCGAGTCCGAAAATGATGAGGATTGCGCGAGACATCGCCGGCAAGGAGATCGAAAGGATATTGTATGTAATTGTGGAAGGATAGTACTACGTTATTGGGGTTCTGGACTGTTAGCGTGGGGGGGCGTGATTTTTAGCGTGGGAAACTAACGTTTTCCCGTATGATTCTCGAGGGCCTATACAAAATATTAACCATTTTTATAGAATTTCACATGTTCTATAAAATATAAAAAACAATATCAAAAATATTAATAAGTTTCGAAGTTTCAGAATTTTTAGAATATTTTTTTATAACTTTCTAGCAATTAAAAACTGCTAAAAACTATAAAATACATAATATATCCACAATAGGTGAAAAAACAAAGGTGTGCCTCCTGCCCCCCCCCCGCTAACAGTCCAGAACCGTTATTAAAGTCTCTGAAAACCTTTGGCACTACCAAAAAGATTAAGGCCTCTAACGTCGCAAAAAACTTTTATGTGTTGGGTTTTTCTGGACTTATCTGCAAACTCTCGCAACCGAGCTCAAAGGTTTTCAGGAGACTAATCTGCCCACGAGCTTACCGTTACTTTGCTAGAAAAGTCGGCGAGGTCGGCGAACGCAAAGCGGCCCAACGTGTTGCTGTTGGCATCAATGGAAAAGTAAGTCGCTTGGCTGCATATTTTAAAACATCTTAAAGTAGCTGGACTAAAAAAAAACATCAAAGTCCACAAACAAACCGAATCCGGCAATTCAAACCTACACAAGAGTTTAGGAGCTCTACCTCGGCGCCAAACAGGAAGACTACTTTGCTCAGCTCGACGCCCAATGGGCTTTTCAGCCCAGGGCAAAGACCGCATAACGAACCTCGTTTCTGAAAAAATATTTAAAATTAAAATAAAATTCTTGATAGGCAATTGTCGTTTACATTCCGAAGTTCGAAAATTAAAGCGCACGTTCAGGGAGGGGCCGTGTACTCATCCCAACGCGTACACCCTATCGACGTAGGGACCGCGCGCACTGCCTGCCCGTGCTGGGACAGGCCATTCCCCTCCTTTGCGGCGTGGGGTGCCCCTCGCCCCCTCGCCAGGTTGTAGCTGTGGCTGACTGGTATGCATCCGCGCCTCCCGAGCGGGTGGGCGGGTTCGACCCCCGGCCGCGGCAAAAATCTTGCTTTTTTCCAAAAAAACGTCCCTGAACGTGCCCTTTAACAGAGACTTTTTGTTTACCTTGACGGCGGCAAGTGATACTCAAAAATTCGCATTCGGGTTCGCGATCTTGATCTATTATTTGGTTTTTAGAGAAGCGTTAGCTATTTGTGACATTTTTATGCTTAGGCCGTAGATCTGGACCTAAAGATCAATGTATGCTCTGCAGACGTCCCGGAATGATCCGGTTAGTGTCCAGCGTGCCGATTCACCTGCTATCGATGCTACGAATGCTACCAAACTCGGAATCTTTCTAGCAAGCCGTTTCCTCCCGCGCAACAGCCGTCAGGTGACATTCGTAAAGATCCGGTTACGAGTTGTCTACCTAGAGACATTCCAACTTACTTCTTAATCCAGGTTTGCTAGAACTTGGCATCCTTTCATTGTTTTACCATCTTGCTTTTTGCAAACTTTCTGTATTTTCCAAAATTTTGCCTAGGTGATACCTCGTTTGACCCTTTTAAAGTTGGCAGGATGCGCCTCCAAGTAATGCGCTTCGTCAACGTCACGGCAGCCATCGAAGATGGTCTCTACGATTTGCTTATCGTCGGCTACGTCCTGGAAGCCTTTTTCTATCTTCTTTCGGCATTCTGTATCCCTCTGACGCTACATGTCATTGATGCATCCGGGGTAACCGCTAATATCCTGTATCCAAACGATGCTTCATAGGTCTATCATCCCAACATTGTCCGCATCTACAGGATCGACATTTTGTACTCATATTTCTTCGCCTTGGCACGAATTCCAATAGCGTACTATGAAAATGTAATAGAATTTGCGTGGGTGTATGAAGGTAAGGGAAACCGAAAGTTGAAAGTGGTATATTTTTAGATATTTTCGACTGCCCGATCCTGCTCGTAATTTCGACCCAAATTCGGTCGGCGATGTACGCGTTGATACCTTGTACGTTGATTGCATCGTTTTGATTCCTTTAAACTTTAGGCACGCTTATTTCCGTGCTTGGCGAAAGACTACTCGCGCATCAAAAAGTTGCCACTTATGAGCATCAGTACTATCCGCGGTTAATGTCACTCTATTGTGCTGGTACCTTCTGTACGGCATTTATCGTCGGAGCGGCATATACGCTAGGTAGTGTTTAATGCTGAAGTATAAACAACGTAAAAAAACGTATATCTATATAAAAAAACGTAAAGAAGCCTTGATCTCTAAAATTCTTCTTTAGCTTTCTTCTCCCCGATGGATGAAGCATGTATAGCGGCCGTCTCCGCAGCTGTATCAACGAGCGTAGGTTTTCGGCTACGATTTTGCTCGAAACCGGCAGATCACGTTTTTATTCTAGGGCAGTGTTTATTTGTTTATAATCACCGACCAGAAGAAGCGCGAGTTACTGCCGGCCGACTACACGTTGAGCAAGAGATACCAATTGTACGAGAACGTGAAGGCAGCAAAGGTGGCGTTCTGTCTTTTCCTCGATTATATCTCTCTCACTCGCGCTCTCTCTCTCACTCGCTCTCTCTCTCTCTCTCTCTCTCTCCTACGCATTGAAAATTCTCAGGTTTGTGCGGCTCTGGCCAGCTACGCTGCAATCATGGCAGTTATATTTTGCGTGATATTTGTGTTGCATCAAAACGTATTTTTCGTGGTACTGGAAGAATATTTTAGGCGTGCTAATGATGGTCCATAATGCTTTGTCAGTTTAAGAAAGTCTTGAACGTTATGCAACAAATACCAAATTTCTTTCAGCTACATGTGGACAATGACATTTATGGGCTACCTGAGCAGCCCGGAGAATGGTGAAAATCGCGCGTGAATTGGCTGGGAAGGAGTTGGGCAGATTATTGTAGGAATTTTTTCTGTTTATCGATCGATCTTTGACGCTCATTTCCTGCTAAATACCATTTTTTTAGAAAGATCATCAGCCCCCAAAACCTATCGCTATTTCGCCAGAAAAGTCGGCGAAGGCGGTGAGGTAGTTGACCCGGAAGGTGGTCGTTGGAATCAATGGAAAGGTAAGCTATTGAGATTTCTTATTATTTACGCTGGAAAGTCACATTTATACCTTTAACTTTTTGATTCTAACAATTCATCACGCATCCAAGCGAAAATAGGTTCAGGAACTCTACCTCGGCGCTAAAGTAAGAAGACTACTTTGCGCAGCTCGACGCTCAATGGGCGTATTTCAAACCCGAGCAAGCTTCGGTTTAATCGTTACGGCAACTAATTAGCATTTCCGGATTATTTTGATGAAATGTCTGATGACACGGCCCCGTTTTTGTTTTTCCCCTACTCACCTCATAATATAACAATGGACTTCTAGGGATAGGGAGACGTAGCCAAAACAAACTTATTCCCACGTCCCCAACGGAATTGCTCCGGAAAAGGAAAATTGGATTAGAATTTAGTTTTTAAGTCATTTTTGCAAAAATTTAAATAATTTGTCTTTCATGGGAGTGAAGCTGTCGTGCTGAATTTAAAATTTTGGTTTTGATTCGTGAACTGGTACTGGATTTCGTGTAGTTTGAACGTCAAGCTCCGCTCATTTGTCGCCAAACACCTGGCTAAAGGGTCCGGGCCGCACGGTGCGCCGGCGAAAATAATATTAGCAGGAGTTAGAGGATTCACGAAAGTTTCTTACCGCACGACCCAGTTTTATTTAACGTTTTTTGTCCCATTTTTATGGCTGGCTGTTGTTGTTTCGGCTTTTCTCCTGAACTCCGAAAAAGTTGCAATCCCGCAGAAAAGGTCTAATCCGATCAAGCCACCACCATTCTGCCTTAAAACCTCTAATCGCCCCGGTTTGTGTTAATTCCCACCTGTTGGGGAACCGAGGCCTTTCCGAAGAAGATATTATCAACCTTTGTCATTGCGCTGCACATGGCTGGACTTTAGACCTTTTATTCGTATACTGTAACTGGACTGCATTACAGATGCAAATCCAAGTGCTCAACTTCATAAATGTCTCAGCTGCCGGGGAGGATGAGCTGAATGACTTTAGTTTATTCCATTTATTTTCTGGAATATATTTTGAACATGCTAACATTACTGATCGATCCCTAAGGCGCGCCACGTACCACGCGTTGCCTCGGTATCATTGGTAGAAATCTAACCAGAATTTTTTTACGTCCAAAACGACTTTTTTATCGACCGCATTCTTTTGAGGACCGACCTTTCTAAAATTCTTTTCCAGGTCTTTCAACCAAATAAAGAACGTTTCTACTACGGTTTCGCCTATTTTTGACTACCATTCCTGTTCCCACGAATACCACTTACCTGTTTTGGAATCAGCTATCCCTATGACCCCCTTTATAGGAGTAGGTTTATTCTAAAAAGGGGGGTAAACTTCAGAGTGGTCTAGAAGAAGACTTCTTACCCAGCTAGCGTTTAATAGCTACCTTTTATTCAAGCGACAATGTTTGCGCCTTGAAATACCTTGTAAGTGACAACTGCGAAAGCTAGTCAAACCAAATATTTTAGATAATCTTTTAAAATTAATTTATTGATTTGTTTAGCCGGATGCCTGGTCGAGCGAATCGTGGCTACGGTTAAAGTAGCAACATATGAAATTTATTACTACCCTCGATTTTTCGACGCCTACATCGTAGTCAATTATTTTTGCGCTGTCGGCGTGGGAGGATTATATACGTTCGGTAAGGCGATTTCGGTTTAGCGCACGAATTTCTTTATTTTTAGGATATTTCACACCGTTACACGAGGCCGTCCTTGCGCTTTGCCGGTACTTTGCCGCAGCAACTCTAGTTTTGTATCATTCCGCAGCGATCTATATGGCTTTTGGGCACCGTAATCATCATTTTACTTACGGAACGCTCGAAACATAACTCGTCTCCTCGTTATACGCTTAGTAAGCGATATCAACAACTTGAGAATCACAAAGCTATGAAGGTATGTTCGGAATGGATTTAGAAAACTACCCTTTGAACTAAGAAAAACAGTTTAGAGAACTAACACATAAAAAACGTAAGAAGCTCAATGCGCCTTGGCGTCCAGGGTAGCGTTGCGGCCCCCACGCCGGGTCCAGGCACTGCGTCTTTTCCAAACCCCTCCTTTTCTTTTCTGGGAGATTTTCCATCGCTCAAGACTTATTTTTTAGTGCACAGTCGTCTATGTCGAACTTTTGCCGGAATGATGAGCATCCTCTTTTCCGTACTATACCTCCTTAACCAGTATTCCGACCTCCTGACGCTATTGGGCTAGCGTGTGCCGGGATTGATATTAATGTCCATATTGCTATGTCCAATGTTGCTTTCCGATACATCTATAAAGGACTACTCGCAGAGAAGGATGTTATTATGTTTTTACAAGGCTCTGAAAATTAGCGATTTGCAAAAAAACTTTTCTAGAGGGTGCACTCCATTTTTTTGAAAGTATGGGTCGGAAGTTGGAGTGCTACTTAGCAAGGGTATTGAGACCAAATATGATCTCAAGCCTAATTGTTCAATCTTGCTTTAGTTACGCAAATATCGTACAATACGTCGGGTACATCTCAAATCGCCAAATGTACGAGTTGGCGGGTGGGATCTCGATGGAAAAAACTGCGTGGAATTGGGTATCAGGATGCTAGTTTTCCAATGAGATTTTATTCTTTAGGG